TTATGGTGAGCAAGATTTTCCATAGAAGATTATATATAGTATACAAACAAAGAATTTGTGGCTTCAAACAGAATGAAAAGATCCAAGATGAAAAATTGTACCCAGAATTCATAAAGTTCAGTTGGACAAACACCTTTATTCAATAGAAAGGAAGGGCAGATGATTGAGCTACACAGGGATGCTATTATTACTGCAAGCAAGAAGTGAAAAGCCAATTATCCATTTGCTCAATAAACATATGAGCAACATTACACATTATTCAGATATTGAGAAGATGAAAGTTTTCTCCTCAACCAGAAACAACCTGTTAGTTAGCAATAATTTACTTTGAAATGAATAACTAATTTTCTAACTGAAAAGCTGTGACATATTGACATAGTAAAATAATATGATTTCCAGACATGGAAATGTCATACATAATCAATATAGAATATTGCATTAGAGTATAAATATGTTTATTAAGGGAAAAGATATTCAGAGAAGCTCTACATTCTTTCCATGAGAAGTATACTTTTAAAGAACAAGTTGAGTACCAATAAAGGAAAATATTTGTAGCTTAAGGTTGAACTTTGGGGTCATTGGTGCTCTCTTAGCTTGTTTCTTTTCTTGTAGAAATTTCATTACCCAAACTAGATAACATCATCAGGTCTAGGAAGGAGTGGAGTTTGCCCTCAATTTATATTCTCATGGGTTGGCCTGTCACTGTTGGTGGGAGTAGTCCTGATGGTTCTTTGGTTGAGCTGTTTACTGTTAGCTTGTTTGGCAGTTCCTTGATTGGAAGCCTGACGCTCTGACATTGGTCATTAATGAACAAATAGACAAAAACAATATCTACATAACTGTGCAAAAGAGACAATCAACAAGCCAAAAACAAACAGAAAGACCAAAACACCTCCCTACCAGCAATCAACACCCAGATGAACATAGATTAACACCAATATTAATATCAGACAAACAATCAAGAAGAAACAATACTTCAATCAGGAACTGCTAAGCAAGCTAACAGCTCAACTAAAGAATCATCAGGATCATTCCCACCAACTCTGACAGGTTAAGCCACTAGAACAGTGGTTCTCAACCTTTCTAATGCCGCGATCCCATAATACAGTTCCCCATGTTGTGGTGACCCCCAACCACTTATACATCACCGGGTGCCAGGGGCGTGGCCAAAGAAAAGGGAGAAAAATGGTGGATAGTCTTGTTTGGCGACCCCCGTGAAATGGTCGTTCGACTTCAAATGGGGTTGAGAACCACTGCACTAGAATATAAATTGAGACCAAACCCCACTCCTTAATAGCACTGATGATGTTACTTAGTTTGGGTAAGGAAAGATCTATAAGAAACCAATCAAGCTCAGAGAACAGCAAGAACACAGCAAAAATTTGAGTATTTATATTATGAGAGCCTTTTCCGCTTAAAACAAAATTCCCCCAATCGTCATTCTGTATTCATCTCTAGCAGGTAGCAAGTCAATTTTTGTCCTCAATGTCAAGCACACTTTCCTTTTGCATTCTTTGGCTGCATTCAGTGGAAAACATTTATTAAAGAACTGTTTCTGCACAGCAAGACAAATAATAATTAATATTAACATAAGCTGGGTGCATTGGTGTTTTCTTTTAATTAAAAAAGCATAAAGGAAACAGGATGGGTGTAGTACTACAGCCATAAGGCAAAGCTCCCTCTTCTATTTTATGTGAGGCTGACTAAAATTGAATTACTAATGCTACCATGGCAACCATTCAATCATTTCACAATTCTGCTGGTTTTAAAAAAACACACACAAACATGCTACTTCCATACAGAGAAATCATAAGCTAACATGGTATACTCCACAATTGTGCTTTTTATAACATTCCAAGGAGCAACATGTACCAGAATAAATCAATAACTGTTTCTGCACTTTAGAACCCATTTGTAACTTTTTATCACCCCACTATCCCTGTCATTTACTTGTGTAAAATACACAGAAAAACAAATGTTAAGGTATTGGATTCAGAAGATAAGATAAGGAATTACAGAAGACTACTGGTTTTGACACTGAAGCTGCAACTTGTCAGTTGCAAGTCAAAATACTTCTGTGCAAGTTTCAAGATGGATAAACACTTTGATAAATGATACCGACAGTTGTGCTTGATGATTGTATGATTAGCTTTAAATAACTTTCCTGAGAGCCAGTGTCACCTTTATATTTAAAATAAAGACAATATCTGCAGAACTGGGGCACATGCTTCAAAATGTCACTTTATGCCTTAAACTTCATTTCTTCCAAAGAATTTAACATGCATCCTGCAATATGAAGCACTTCAGTAGCTGTTTTATCAGTTAGTAGATAAAACTGCAGATGTAGGCACATTTGTGTGGAAATAAATATCTTTATGTTGAATGTGCATGTCCACCTATTGGCTTTAATCCACTATCTATTATACACAAACACAGTAGTTAATATATTTGTCTGTGGATGATCTATTCTGGTGTTATTTTCCTTTTATAAAGAGCAATTCCAGATAAGGGCAATATCAACAGAATTAAGCATTATCTAACCTATATAGTAATATCAGGAGCTGTTCCAATTTAATATTCCAATTAAAACCATGATAGCATGCCACCTGCTGTGGACTGCAATAAATGACCCAGGTTCATCTAAAGTATCACCATCAACCTGGGTTGTGACCACCATCCAAATCCAGCGGCTGTGTCTGAATCAATATACTCTAAATGACATTCTGTGCTTCTTGGACATAGGTTGCCATTCTTCTTATTAGGATGTGTGAGGGTTGATGTCTCTGAGGGTTTGCTACTCTTACATGACTGTGAATACTTGCTTGTTATTTGTGATTCTCTTTCTAATTTTTCTTGAGCCATGTAACAGTGCTGCTACCTTGAAGATGTGTTTTCACAATTATCTGCTATGCTTCAGATTCCCTCTCTTAATTACATCAAGACAGATAATAATCTGACAGTTTGCCTCCAGGAGGCATCTCCTAGATCACAGAAATTTCTCTTCTGCATCCTTCAAGCACAGATGCCAATTCAGAAAAGGTCTCAGGAGCACTTTGGCCAACCTCAATAAAATGAGAATTGCACTTGAAAAGTTACTAATCTACTTAATTTCTTGAGGGCTGATTAACTTTTTACACTAACATCCCAATTCTAAATACATTATTTTGAAGCAAGTGCTATTGATTCACTTACAGGGATGTTTTTTAAGACTTGTGTTTTAGATGCACATGTTAACTAACAACTTCTTAAAACAACCACTTCTTTGTCCTCAGAGAAGGTTTAAGATCAGGCAAATACCATAATTTCAAGGGCCCCATATTTTAGCTGCATTTTAAACACTGATAAATTTAAAACATGAATTAACCTCATATGCAGAAGAAATTATACGCAGAAGCCAATTTTCATATCTCCCTTTTCTCTGTTCATTTATTTAATTATTTTAATCTTATTTTTAAAATCAATATGCCTTATACAAAAAATTAAATAGCAGTAAACTCACTAAAAAAGAGCAAGGAAAAATATAGCAACATTAAAATCAACAACATTAAAATCACCTGGAAACCTAACATCTATTTACAACTGAAACTGCCCCCTCTCTGACCTGCACAAGGCTCTGTTGAATTCGATAGGCCATATGGTTGGGTTCGCACACTGGATAGTGCCACAATATTGTTTATTTGAGGTTTTTCTCTAGGACACATCATCTCAGTAATATGGGTTGCTTGACTGCCATGGAAAACCCATGTCATTCTGGTGGTTGATTTTGCAATGGAAAGTTTTACAATGAAAAGACTGAGATTGTCATTTAAGCTTCTTGCTCTTCTCCAAAGACCTATTGCCCAGGACACTGGCCAATGTGGGTGTGCAATTTGAGCCTCCAGTAACCTAGAGATGGTTCCACATTAGCAGATGCCCCATAGCAGCACCTCATCTATTTTGCAGTTGGTCCAGATGGCTGGCCAACTAATCTGTCATCAAGGAGTTCATAGCTGGTCTTCCTATTTGTTCACACGATGCTAAGCAATTATTTCTAATCATAGTTTGTTGAACATGTCATTGTGACCTGATTTGCACTTATTATGAAGCCATAATGATTCCTTCATCAAGCTAATCCCAAATAAAGAAATTATATTGTAGCTTCATGCAATGTGTAAAGCCCACTTCCCTTTATTCTCTCCCTCAATTCATATGTTTCTCACAATCGACTGCTGTCTGTTAATACTTTGGTGCAACTGTTCAACTCTGAAGGCAGACTTCCTGGGCCAATAGCAGCTATGTGGTCCTGCAATTCTGGGAGCAGTAATCCCAGATGAATTGGAGGAGACCAGGTTGAAGAAGGTTAAATTGAGTGCTTGCAGCATTAAACAGCACCAGACAGTTAAAGAGAAGTGCAAAAGTGATTTGTAAAGTATCCATCAATATACAATTAATAGCAGATTTTGCAATTTGTTTTGTTCTGACAGGCTGTATTATTTTCTTATCTAAATCCTTTGATTTATTTTTTGATGGAATCTTAACTCTCTTTTATAAAGATATTCTATGTATAAGAGGAGTGTTGCCTTAAAAGAGTACGTCATATATATTAGAAATTTAAGCAAACTTAAAAGCATAGAAAATTAGAAAGTAGTCCACAAAAAACATGGTCAGACATCAAGGGATACATTATCCTAAATGTAAAACTTGGCAGGTCTGCAGCTGAAACACAGTTTTAATTAAAACAGATGAAAATAACCAGACTCACCAATTGCATTATTGGTTTTGGGGAATCTTGTTGCAAACATATGATAAAGCCATGAAAATTCTTAAAAGCTATAATGATTTACTTATATGGTTGATGAAATAGGACATTATTATGACAGAAGCAAGAATTTAATAATCAGAAAAATGTAAACGCCTTTAGGAAGATTAACACAATTTACCTACAAACATTGAAGAGAGTTAAGATTCCATCAAAAATAAATCAAAGGATTTAGATAAGAAGATATGCGGTATTCACTTACCTTCTCCATGCCAATCTTCAATATTTCCAATCCTGTATCCTTTTCAAGCATACTTTTGTTGTCAGCTGTTAAGAAAATTAAAAATGGCATAGTTAAAGGTGTTGCAATGAATTTGCATCATCTTCTTTCATCACTGTTACACATTTTCAAGGACTTAGATCTCACCATCCTCACAGAATCACTGTAAAATGGATTAGTTTTCAATTTTACAGGGGATAAAAGAAAAGACAAGAAAAAAATAGAAAGCTACCTCAACTGTTCTATAAATCAGTAGGGTAGCCTCCTGTTGAAACTAGAATATTGTCATCTTGATCAACTTTGTCATACAACATAAGCTCAGTTTATTTACTGAATGTTCTTCCTGTTTTCAGTGGCTGGTCTAAAAGGAGTCAGATGGGGCTACTAGGAAATGAGCTGACTTTAGAACACCTACTTGCTCACATGGGATCTTCAAAAGCTAGCTCTAGTTAACATTTTGATGGTCTCCAGGAAATCTCAGGATTAAAAGTAGATAGGGAAGTTGAATACATAAGAAGGCAATGGAAAAGCACTTCCCTATCACATGAAGAGAGTTGCATGGGTGTGTTCATATAGTCACATAAGTTGAAATTAACTCAGTCAAGTTTTTATTGTTTTATGCAACTCAGACGCAAAATTGTATGAAGCTCTGAATATGTATGAAGCTTTGAATAAATTGCCCAAAGTCCCTTCAAAAATTGTTAATAAATTGAAATTTTCAATGTGAGAGAAGGTGAGCATTACTAAATATATGGTTACTAATAAGATTGATTGTATTTAATTTAAATATATTTAAATTCAGCCAAACTTATTTTTTTGTCCATATCTTAACTTATTTAATTTTCCAGACTCTTAGGATTTAGCTGTCAATGTGTTGCTCAAAACCAACTGATCATTCTGCTTTCCAAATTCTGTACTCCAACTAGTAAACACATCAAACCAGGTGCAGATAATTAGCCATTTGGAAAGATACATATTCATACAAGAGCATTCTCTACATACAGTACTTCCGTAGGTTGACTGTTAGCTTCAAGAAATCTCAGCAAATTACATGAGTGTCATCAAAGATATTATCTCTCTTGCTTTAGGTGAAAGATTAAGATGATACTCCAACATTTTTTGCAACAAGGTTGAATCTAATGGCCCAAATGGATCATGCTACGGGATCTGGTGTGGAAGAGCATTCTCTATCACACAGATGCTAGATGGAAAATACAGGTCTGAATGCAACTCTTCATATCCCTGTCCTCTTGATAGTTCAACATCCAATGCCTAAGACAGCCTCACCATTCCTGATGGTAGGACTAGCCTTGTTCATCCTAACCTTTTCTAAATAAGTTCAATAATTTTCCAGGATCACAGTTTAGACACACAAATTCAGGACTAATTTAATTCATTCTTGCTATTTAGGCATTTATTCAGTGTTACATGGATTTAAACAGTCAACTAACATCAGCCTTATTTATCTTCCCAATTCCCCAGAAAGAAGGCTTGGTAAATGTTATTAAATCTCCTTTGTATAAAAAGAAGGGGAAACTAGGATAGATACTTGAGTCAAATCACCTTAGCCTTCCTGAATCAATGCTACGGTAGCGATTAAAATTCAATACTTTGTCAACAGAATGATTTCATACTATAAGCCTATGGATCTTAATATGTGCTTTTTGTAATATACACATATCATGTTAATCTGTAACAATAAACAGATCATGCAGCTGAGTTGATTTCAAACACTCAAACAACTAACAAGAAAATGTCTCAAACCCCACTGATAATGTGAATTAATGGTTGCTCTATACTGAGGACTCCTTATGAAATGAATTCTGCTATACAAATGTCAACTATTTATTTCAAAGGAGCAAATATATTTCACATTTTGGCTCCTCCAGAATAATGCTCAAAGGATATGGAAATGTCAGTGATTTATTTCTTTATTCTCTAATACTGTTTTTTGTTTTTATAATTTTTTACAAAGTGTAAATTTCATCATAGTCTTTAAGGAGTTAGTGGTGGTTACATACACTTATCTATCTATCTATCTATCTATCTATCTATCTATCTATCTATCTATCTATCTATCTATCTATCTATCCATCCATCCATCCATCTATCTACCTACCTATCTACGTACCTACCTACCTAGCTACCCATCTATCTAGACAGATTTTGGTGGGAAATTCCTGGTTGGTATCATGATCCAAAGTGCTTAGTTTTCATACTCAACCTAATAATTTTTTTATAGGATGGAGTTAGCCAGCCTTCTATGAAATCTCCAAATTTGACTGAATGAAAGAATCTATAGCTGGGAGAGATTTGGAAGTCCTCAAAGGCAATTCAATAGGTGATTTTAGCTTAGCTTAGAAGAAGGTTATGTCATAAAATATTGCTTGGTCCTGTTCTTTGTATTTTTCAATTATGAATGTCCAATTTACTATGCAAAATTTACTATGCTATATCTTTATCCAGCTTTATTGGCGGGTTTTTGGTTTTTTTGCCCCTTCCCCATTCCTTCCATTTCCCCAGCTGGCAAAATTGATATGCACTTTTTTAATCACCTGGAATTTCTTTGTTTGCTAATTTTTAAACTGAAGTTTGGAATTCAGCAGTTTTGCTCAGCATGAAAATAAGCACAAAAGCAGTATGCTTGCCCAACTATGGGATGGGGTGTGTGTCAAGGAGGAGATTTGGGAAAGTCTTGAATCAAGATGGAAAATAAATAATCACCATTGCTGACACTGAATGGAATCAAGCACGATATCTCCACAACTATCCTCCTTTAAGCTTCTTTTTCCTATCTTTCTGTTTAAAAGATTGCCATTCGGATGGAAGAAAAGAAAATGCGGGCCGTTTATTAAAGAGATGCTGTAAAATTGTCACAATTAACCATCTGCATCCATCTAGAGGAGGCCTCAGTCTTGTCTGTTGGAAGAGTCTTGTGAAGTCTGTTATGGATGATTATGGCAATCAATTTCAAGGCTCCAGTTCTTTCTGCTGGAAAATGGCTGTTCCTCCACTCCAACACACAGTGACAGAAATAAATTGTGCTGCTCAGGAAGTTCACCTTTAGAGACTCAAAGCTCTGAGCTGTGGCAACCTCTCTATCTCGTTGAACACTCAGCAACCATTGAGTTGTGCTGCTTAATAGAGCAAGGCCATTAAGTTGTCCCCATTGTAATTTAGATCACAGAAGAGACTTCTACAGATTCTTTCAAGTTAAAATAACTAGTATAAAGAGAGCAGGCGATATTATTGCACCATAGCTACGTGCTTAATTATATGGAATTGTCAAGTGCAAAGAATTATTCTGATAAATTAAAATACTAATTAAATAGACTATTGCTGAATTCTGAGAACATTATAAGGTTCCACTTCCTCAGGTAATTTGCATATCTTCATCTCCTGAATTTAATTTTAATGGATTTCTTTTTAAATGTGTATTCAAGAACTGGTTGGGAGTTTTTAGACACATGGGAATATTTTTTTAATTGCCTTAAAAGAGGAGCACCCATTTCTTCCATCTTTTCTAGAAATGTTTGCAATTCAAATTGTATTTTTAATAATTAAGAAAATGTTACAGGTGTATTGATGGGAGTTATCTTTTTGTAGTAATATATTCTCTAAACAATCATTTTTTCAAACCTATCAGTATTAAAATGCAAATAACAAGATCTCAATTCATCAAAGATCTGCAGATGAAAATTTGATATTTAGCATCTGTGTTAAAAATTTAATATGGTTCTATTTGTCTCAGTATTCATACAAATCATATGATATACAAAACCACACCCATGATTTAAATACATGACTTAATAAAAATATTTAAAGCATGTATTGTTAAAAAGCATGCTCTTTTTTGGCACTATATCCTTCTGAAATATGGTTACATTCTACTTCTAACCACCAATTCTTAAGCCAAGTAAATCCTTTTTTTTTCTTTGAAAAATATTTTTTGGGATCAATTACTTTTAAGGATTCTGTAAAAATTAATGTAGTATGCATTTTAGTATAAACTGAACTAATTTTCTCTTCTGGAACACATGTGACACACAATTACCCTTTGGATTTTGTATTTCTGTGAAACAGTCCCACAATGGAAAAAATATATAAAATCTATACATTCAAGAAAAAGCATATAAAAATACAGTATGTCCATTTTGAATACGTGTGTTGGGATAAATGCAAACAAAAGTGCACATGAATGTGGAAAGTTGCATAAATTTGGTCTTTCTTCACAATATTTGGAAGCATAGAAACTGCATCCGTACCCAATCTTCACATTTACAGTATAATTATTTCACTACAGCTATTTTTGGCCTAAAAAAGATTACTAAAAGTTTTCAAACATATAATTCTTTATTATGTCAGTCACATTAAAATAGATGAATTGATCATGTAAACTGACATGTTCTGTTTCACTGCAACAGTGCCTGTTACTAAGTTCAGATGCAACAAATATGATTCATCCAAACTTCTGTCTTATAACAATGGATCTGCCTAAATTATTTGAAGAATCATTAATTATCATTGTTACTTCCATCAATAAGCTCTCACTATACAATGTATGTATCTAATCTCCTGGGTTGGCAATAGAAACAAATAGGCATAAACTGATGCAGATTTTAATGCATATATGACATTATATCTTCTAGAACACAATCTTAGGAGAGATGACAGAGAAGAAGAAGTAGTACACATTTAATCATTTATTCAATGTTTCACATTTCAGTTATTGATACTGAACAGAAGCTAAAATATTGGGTGTGGACAAGGAAATCTCCATCAAGCTATGTCATGAATTTTATTAAAAGATGTTATAAGACCATGCTTACTTGGTTGCTGTGAACTAAACTTTACAAAGTTTCTATGAAGGAAGGGGAAAATATAAATGAGAACAAAGGAAGAAAAGAATGGTCAAAACAATTAAAAAACAAAAATTAGAATATTTCAACATGTGATGCGATACCCAGAAAAGTACAGCATACTCCATTTAATCCTCCAGGGAAAGATTGAAGGCAAATAAGGTCCAGGCAGAAGAAGAACATCGTGG